GGGGGGGGGGGGGAGGCATTTGAATTAGAGTCTAATTAAAATGGTTCATCATCATGTGTATTAAGACCCTGTGCATTTTAAAATGGCTATAGGATTATCTAAAAGTTTATTCAACAAGGTTTAAATAAAGCACCCCTGTGGCCATTTTAAAATGCATGGGCGCTTAATTCATGTGACGGTGAAGCAATGCTGGAGTGTTCTAATTAGAGTTGTCAAATGATTAAAAAATGTAATCACGATTAGATGCACAATTAAAAAAAATTAGTCACAATTAATTGTGATTTTAATTACACAGCTAAAAACTCAAAATTATGCCCAGAAAACCTCAAAATTATGCAGGCACTTTGTATGGTTGAAGGGGTTGGTGTGGGGTGTATGTGGGGAGAATTTGTGAAGGTGTGGGGAGCTGTGGGTATGTGTGAGGGGGTTTGGAGCCCAGGGAGGGAGGGGTCCCTACAGGGGGGTCTGGAGCCTGGGAAGGGAGAATTCTTACATGCCCTGGCAGGATGCAGGGTACTGTGGGTCTGGAATGAGGGGCAGGATGCAGGGTACTGTGGGTCTGGAATGAGGGGCAGCAGCAGGGCTGTGGTTTGGGATTGAGGGGAAGGGATAGGGCACGGGCATATCACTGCCCCCCCCAACAGGTGTTCTTTTTTGAAACTGGAAATATGGTAACCCTAGAGGAATGCAGCCTGATGGCATTTAAAGCAGCACCCAGCAGGTATGTCTGCGGAGGGGAAGGGGCAGGAGGGGAGGGAAGGGGCAGGGTGTGCAGACTGAGGCCCCCAAGGTGAGGGAGTGATGCAGGGGCTAGGGTGAATGGGACCCAGGGCTGGGGCAAGGAGAGGGACAGAGCCACAGGGCGGAGGGGGGAGTGGCTCCCTGCTGCTTTGTGCACCCCAAGGGGAGGCATGGGGAGCAAGTGTCCCCTGGATTTGTGTGCAGGGCAGAAACAGGCTGCCTGCTGTGGGCTGGAGCCCTGCACCCTGCTGCCTTTGCCCTGGGAGCTGCACCCCCTTGCCTGGCCTGTGGCAGGAGGCACAACATGGCATCAGCCCATGGTACAACATGGCATCAGCTCACAGAGGGCAGACTGCGTTTTCCCTGTGCACATATCTGGGGGTCACATACCCCCATGCCTCCCCCAGGCGTGCGCGCAACAGCTAGGAGCCGTCCCCATCCCCACCATGCCCCTAGAAAAGCCGCCTGTGGCTCCATCCTGTTGTGTCCCTATGACTCGGCAGGCCCTGCAGGAAGGGTTGTGGCTGCTCCACGGTTGCCCCCATTCCCCCACCAACAGCTCTGATCACAGCAGTTACAGTATTAAGTAAATTAATGTTACTGGTCAAAGTAAAATAAGTCAAAACAGAAGCATCTTTTCCTTCCTCAAAACATATTTAGCAGACAGCAAAAACCCAGATGATTGTGATTTAACTGTTTTAAATTTTACTAATGCTACCACTAATATTAAATCTTTACTACTGTTCTAGACCTATGGAATTTGGAAGAAAGGGGGATTCAAGCAATGAGTGCACAAGTTCATTGTTCGTATTATACTGCTTGACTGCACCTTACTGCTACACCTAATAAACTCTGTGGACTTCATCCATCCTGGACTCTTCCCAACCCTCACAATTGTATCCTGCTTCCTACTACCTGTAACTGAGCGTGTGCTTTTTGTAAACCACCTCTGAACTTCTGAATGTGGCATTGTTTTTTGGGGTCTTCAGTGTACTGACTTTATAAGCATTGCATCCCCACCCCACCCTGACCCCTGTCCTTTCCCCACTTCCCACTCCTGGGCTTAGTGGGCTGCATGCTCTATATGCAACTTAGGTACATTCCCACCCCTACTCCTATCCTGCACAAAGTAGCCCCTTGCTCAGGTCCTCAGTATTTCCTTCTATCTTAAACTTTGTAACTTGAACTTTAACATTCTCTAATAAAGTAAATCTGTTCTAAGTGATGTAAAATAACTGTAATTTATTATAAATTGCCTTTACATTTGCAGATAAAAAGCTATATGTCCCCGACGGGCCTTCTCGTGTCGCTCCTGGGAGCTCTGCCCTCCTAGTCGTTGGTTACTCCCCGCCTGGACCTGTTTGTTACCGTGGGTGTTTGTCCTCCCGCGTCGCCAACCCCGCTCTCGCCTGCCACGACTTGTTGTTCCCCCAGTGGGGCGGGGCTAGTTCACAGGTCCCTCGGTGGCCCGGGCTTGGCCCACCGGTTGCACACGGGGCTCCGCCACCCCTACACCCCAGCCTCACGCCACCTATGGACTCCATTTCCCTGTGCCCGCTCAGTGTTGCTTCTGCAGGCTTCTAACACGGCTCTTGTCCTCGATCCCCGCAATTCGTGGGATACTCCTACCTTAATGTCGACCACTTCACACCAGCCTGCACCGGTGCCTCAGCCGCAACCTCTATAGACCCCACACCACAAGCCCTTCACCCTGTGCGACACTCCCCCGCTTGGAGGCTCTGATGTCCTAACTACCTTGCTGACCTTCCACCAGATCCCTATTAGCATGAACGGCGGGGGGGAGGGGAGGAGCTCCCCTCAGTCGCTCTCTAGTTGCCCCGCTCGTGTTCCTTAATCGACATCCACTGGTCTTGGCGGCGATCCTGCCCCGATCTACCTCCAGCCAGGTGGTCCTCGGTCTTTTGCCCCTCTTTGGCATAGCCTGCACCCACCATCTCGGCACTTACTTCGGGGTCCTCTGAATCCTCCTGGGTTGTCCCGATCTTCCGTCGCTCACCCAATCTGTCGCTTCTGGGTCGACCTGCCGGTGTCCCCGTTGTTGGGCTTCCCTTCTGGGTCACTGCTCCCTCCAGCACGCTGGCTCTGCGTTGCCTGTCCCGTGGATCCTGCACCGTCGCTGGCCCTAACAGCAGTCTGACCCCCGGGCTATCTGCTGCCTCCGGAGCAGCAGCCGCCATTTTTAAATCCGCCGGCTGGTATCTGACGCTGCCGTCAGCTGCTGGCCGCAGCTGTACGAAGAGGCGGCTAATGAGCCGTGCTGGTTCTCCCTCCGGCTCTGCATCTCTCCTGTCCTGGGCTTCAGGTAAGTGTCCCTTGTTACCTCGGCCCCCGGGACACTATACATCAGATTGGAGGAGGCTAGAATGTAAGTTGTTTCAGTGTTGAATCCTGTCAGGTGGCGAGGCTGAGTGTGCCCACAGCAAGGCCTGGTGCAGGCCTCCACATTACTGTGTTTTTGGGTCAGGCTCTGTCAGGCCTTCTGGAATTGACAAAAAAATACCAAATGGATGGAGGGCCTTTCAATCTGGGATGTTTTTGCTCAAAGACCAAAGTATTCAAAATAATCATCCTTGATCTTCAACACACTGACAACTGCACCGCCCTTGTGCACACAAGAAAACCTCTAGACCATGCTAGGTCTCTTTGCAGAAGTTTACCAAACTCTGGGCCTTTGTCTTGACATTAGAAAGACTCAAATGCTCCATCAGCCTGCTCCAGGCCATGGATATGACCCTATACCCTTTCCCCCTCAAATTACCATTGAGGTAGATCATGGAGGTAGTTTAGCACTTTCATAGATGTCATACATTTCTAGGGTCAGAAGGGACCCAAGAGTGCTGGGGTCAAGCAACCCCAACTACGTGCTGGTCTAATCTCCATTTAAAGGTAGGTGAAAGCACCACCTCCCTTGGAAGCCCATTCCATATTTTGTGAACCCTAAACAAAGAATTTTTTTCCTGATGTCCAAGCTAAATCTGCTCTCCTTCAGTTTATGGCCATGGTTTCTAGTAACCCCGAGAGGCGCCTTGGTAAACAGAGTATTCCCTATTCCCTGAGCTGTGGTAGATATAATCCTCAGAGAGACTGCTGACTAGATCAGGCCTCCCTGTAGCGGACAGTGATATTACTGCTCTGGCTAAAGCTAAGCAATTAGCAGAAATAGCTGGCCACCAAAACCAAACCAAACCAGCCTTGCACAGTGCTAGTAATAATCACTTTGCAGATTAAACAGGTGTAACAAGATTGCTGTTTCTTTGTGTCATTATAGTTAAATACTTGGCAGAAATACTCATTTCCCGAATTCTAACAAGTCACTGCTGTCATCTTGTTGTGGCTGTTTGCTCTGTGATTATTCTTGGCATTGTACAGGGCTCCACTGCAAGCATTAGTGCTCAGGATGCAAGACTGAGTCATGATTATGACAGCGCTGCTCTGTGCTACCATGGCAGTAGCACATGGATAGAGCCAGCTAGCTACTTCAGTTTGAAGTCACAGTAGATTTGCACGTTACAAACTAGCTAAAACCAGTGACATGCAGCATGAGCTCTGAAATGAGCTAAGGCTCACAAAATCTTAAGCTGCACACAGTGTTTCTAAGGGTCAACCCTGTCCTGCCTTCCCTACCCCATGAAGCACTGCCCTAATGCCTCAGCCTTGCACTCAGGGCTGGAACTAACTCCCTCCGCTAACAACCTAGAGGAGACCTGCAGCTTGAATATTCCCAGCACCTTTCAGCTGCTTATCCTGCCAAGCCGGCTGTTCCCTGTGGTTAAATACCGGTTTCCAACACCCGTTTCCTTATGCTATGTCCTCTCTGCGCTGACAGACGGGGTGGCCACGCCTTGCTAAGCATCAGAGCTCTGAAAGCTGAGCAGGTTTTGCCACGAAGCAAAGCGCACGAGGCTGGCACGAGCTTCCCGTGAGGGACAGGCCTAAGCTTGCTTACGAACTAGGCGGCGCAAGGCCAGCTCGCTACAGGGGCCCCTGTGGAGGGGAAGGGGAGAGTGGCTGCACCCTAGCAAAGCTGAGGCAGGAACGGGCTCCGCAGCGCGAGGGTGGGGCGCCGGAGTTGCATCATCCGGCTCACGCCTGCAATCACAGCAGCGGAACCCGCGCGCACTTCTACCCTACCCCGCCCCCTTGCGCCCGCACAGCGACGGGCCCTCTCAAAGGCCCCACTCGCCTTTACCACCAATCAGAACGCTGGGGGGGGGGGGGGGGGAAGTCCTTGCTGGCTACGGCTGTCCTTGGTAGGTGCCTGAATCGACGGCTGGTTTTAGCCTTAAAAATCGATTTCAAAATCGAAAAAAAAAAGGAAACGTGCCGAGGCGGCGGGTGATCGCGGGAGGAGGAGGCGCCAGGGGCGTAACTCGGTGGCCAGTTCGTCCGGCAGCGCGCGGGGCAGTCGCAAACGGTCGGCTTCCCTGGGCGCCAAAATTTGAGCGAGGAGATTGGCGCGGGCGGCATCGGCAGGTGAGGGAGGGGTTGGGCTCGCGGGCAGTGGTGCAGGGGGGAGCCGCCTGCGTCTCGGGGACCCCGCGGGGCTGCTTGAGGCGGCGAAACCCTCTGGCGGGGTTGCGGCCGCCGCTCTCGGGGCGCCCGTGCACAGCCGGCACTAGGCGTGCACGGGTTGAGATGCGTGGGTGCGTGTGCGTGCAGGTAGGCAAGGTCCTGTGGGGAGGTGGGATGTCTTTTATCAGAGCGACTAAATAGTTAGGAAATTGCTCTTTGCAAGCTTTGGGGCGTAAACCACCTTCTTCGGGTTGTGCATATGCATGCACTTGTGTGCGTGCGCATGTTTATGTGTGCATGCGCGCGCGTGTGTATCTATTTCGTTTACAGGGGCGTAGGTTGTAGCCGTGTTGATTGAAGGACGTCGGCAGACAAGGTTCTTTGGGTGAATCTGATATGAGAGATACCAGATTCACCCAAAGGACCTTGTCTGTCTATTTAATTCATAAACTTGTTATTTCAGCAAACCCCTAGCAATGTGTAGAGTCGCACTGCACTCTGAATGGAGACAGTCGTCCACAGCATGCTCACTGTTAAAGGAAAAATAAGTCTTTTTTGCCCTCTTCAGGAAGACCATTGTCTTGTGTTTCTTTTCCCCCAGTAGCTGTATGTCTTTGCTGAGAAACATTCATGAGGCATGAATCCATATGTATTTTATTGTAAATAACAGCCTGGGGGAGAGGGCCTTCACCCGTTGTTGGATGAATGTCATTATAATGTTTGGGCAGCACCCTGATGACTTCCGTGCCTGAGGGAGCAACTACCATTGTCTGCTAGGGCGGCATTGTAACCTTTTCCATTTGCTTCATGCTTTTGATTCTGTTGAATGCACTCTCTTTTGATTCAGTCTACTTTTGTTGTTTTGAAACCTACAGCAATATAAATTGGAGAACTTTCCTCATCCCCCTTGAAGGGGGGCTTGGCATGGTCCCTCCGAGAGACAGAAAAGATGCACGTCAAGTCAATTGTCCTTGAGGGATTCAAGTCCTATGCCCAGAGGACAGAAATCAATGGCTTTGACCCGCTGTTCAATGCTATCACTGGCTTAAATGGCAGCGGCAAGTCCAATATCCTGGATTCCATCTGTTTCCTGTTGGGCATCTCCAACCTATCTCAGGTAAAGAGGAAGATACACAGTTCTGAATGACCATGAGCAACAATAATGTTTTTCCCTGTTGAACAGGATCATCAGGCAGCATCCTTTTCCCCCTTCACAGAATGCGTGGCTGGCTTTACTGTTTTGTTTTGGTTTTTTAACTAAAATGAGAAAGATTGACACTTCCTCTTCTGCACTCTGTGAAGATTAAAATTTTTCGATCTAAATCAGAGGATTCTATTGAGAAGTAAAAATGATGATGTGATTATTGCTGACTCCTCATTATCAAGATTGCATTACAGTCGGGCAAGGAATGTTGCAGTGCTAACACTTCTTTTTCAGATGTTTTCCAGTTTGATAAACTAATGTGAATATATAGCTTTTGTAGTTGTACTAACAAGGCAATCCATTTCTCACACCATCAGGTATGATGTTCTGCCTAGGGCGGAAGTCATTTTTACCAACCAATTGTAAACTGAATATATGGTCCCTTTTACTTTGCTTAGTTTTTTAACATGTAAAAAATAATATAATTAGTCTGTAATAAAGATAATAAATTAGTATGCAGTCTGTAACCCAGAGCCATGGGACTAAAGTAGCAGAAGATTGAAATAATGACATTTTTATAAAATAGAAATACAAGAGCAGATTAGGATACGAACTCATTTCTCTATTATGAATGTGGGAACCTCTGGAGAATACTGTTAAATGATGATTTTTTTTTTAGCAAAAGAGGCTTTTTATTATGTAAAAACAAAGAATAATAACAATATTTAATAAGTAACACTATGCACATAGTACCATTTACGTAAGTAATATGCATGTTTAGGAAGATCTGTATCTGCCTTTAGAATTGCTTAAAAGCGTGATTTAGACTCAGTAATCCATCAGAACCGCAACGAATATTTAGTATACCATCTTCACAATTTCATATAGATGCCATCATGAAGAGAGCAGTGTTTTGGACTAGACCATTTTGCTGCATATATTTATCCATTTAATTTTTTTTCATTAATTTCTTATAAAAATCTTTAATTTACATACTGAAATTAGGCTGGTCTTTTGTATATTGTTTTATGCTGCAGCATTTTTATACCTCCACAGTTTGTTCGTTCTTGTAAGTTACTAAGGTACATAAATCTATAGCATGCCTACTTGTCAGACATTTCAGTTGACTCCCCATTCACTATTAATGCAATTACTTTGGTAATAATTCATGTCTCTCCCATATTTTCAGGTGCGAGCATCCAATTTACAAGATTTGGTTTACAAAAATGGCCAGGCTGGAATTACTAAAGCAACTGTATCAATCACCTTTGATAATTCTGACAAGAAACAGAGTCCTCTGGGATTTGAGGCTCATGATGAGATCACTGTCACCAGGCAGGTAAGTTTTTGTCTTTATTTGTTCAGAAATGCTTACAGATTTTTTCATTCTTCTTGATAGAAAGTGAATTCAAAATATAAGCGTTCGCTCTTTGTTTTAGCCACTGCATGTTATACAGCAGGGATGTGCAACTCGCAGCCTGCAAAGGTTTAAGTTGCAGTCTGCAGGCTCCTGTCTAATGTCTTCTCCCCTGCATTGCTCCTGATGCAGCCAGAGAATGGGATAGGCTGGTATGGCCCGTGGGGGTCAGGGCACCTGCCACATGGTGGATTCATGCATGGCCCAGAGACTTGCAGCACGAGACTTGCAGCTCCTTAGAATTCGAAGCATTGGTGTATAGTGCTGGGCTTTTTTTCTTTTTTTCAGTTCCTTCCACTTCACTTTTTCATGCTGTTTTGCTTAAACATAAGCTTTTGCATTACAAACAGTCTAGTCAAGAAGACAGACTGTAGCCTAGACAAGGATTTTTAAAAAGTGTTCTGTTTTCAAGTTTGTGAATTTGTGCAATTAAATCAATATTTTCAGAGTGAATTTAGTGATGGAAACGTAAAACAAATAAGCTGAAGAACTAAAGAAACATGGTAACTCATTGTCTATTGTGGACTTTACATTACAACATTTGAATTACATTTTATATTAATAAAGACTTCACTTCCTTAAATAAAACCATACCTAAGCTTCATAAAGAGTATTCCTTGAACAGCCTTCATTTCCCATAGAGGAAATGGAATGTTCTCTTTTTTGCCTCTTCCTTTCCCCTTTTCAATTTTTGTAGTTGTAATATAGTAAACTATCCACTTAGTGGGCTGAATTGACTTATGCACAGAATAGATGAGGTACAGACAAGAGCACAACAAGCTTTCCTACTGTCTTGGTGTTCTTTGACCTGACCTGAATGGAATATTTGTAGAAGGGATTTGGTCTCACTGACTTACATAAATGCCATCTGAAAAGCTGTTGGCCAGTTTTAGTTATGGTGATAATAGTGTGCGTTTTTCTGGTGTGATGCTTATTCTTTAGAACGAAGAAGCTTCACTTTGCTTTTAACTGAAGAGGTATTGCCAGAACATTTCTCTTGGTTTGCTTTCTCTCTCACTCTTGGAGTTAGAAGATTGGTAGTTAGAAGAATTTCAATATGCTGCTTCATACCGTTGGTAGGGTATGTTTGATCACTGTATTTTGTAGTTTCATTAATTCCCTTGCAGAGCATTGAAACTCCAATTTTCTATATACTGAGATTCTCTTCCTCTCATGTATTGTGTTGTAGTTGATAGTCTCAAATTGTAAGGCCTTTTTTATTCATCCTTTCATTTTCTCTCCCCCTCCTTTCCTTGAGGTTGTCATTGGAGGCAAAAATAAGTACCTAATCAATGGTGTGAATGCAAACAACACTCGAGTGCAGGATCTCTTCTGTTCTGTGGGACTCAATGTCAACAACCCTCACTTCCTCATTATGCAGGTATTGTATGGATATTCCTAAAAATGTTTCATTTCTACATTTGGAAAATTTGTTGTACTTTCAGAACATTTTAAGGGCATTTAATTTTCCAACTAAAATTTGGAAGAGGATATGCCTGGTCAAGTGGAAAACCACAAATGTCCAGTAAAAATAAGTACTGAAACCTTACCTGCACATCAGAGCTTGCTTGCAGCTGCCAGTCCATCTCTCCCTAAGAGAGTTCATTTTCTCATGTTTTTAGAGAAGATCATATATATCCTTGTATTCCCTTAAAATAAATGTCTGCATTCAAGCCAGATAGGCAACTCCTAATTCAAACATTAGCTTGATTGAGCAATCAGTAGGGCCCAATGTAAATTGCAGGCCCAGCTTGCTAGTATTGCGGCCTGATCATGGCAGGGATCGCCATTTATGTACCTAGGTTATGGCACCCCTTCCCCCATAATTGGGCCATGATACTAATGATCAGTGGGGGTGGGAGAGGGGAGCTGGACTCACCTGGCAGTGCATCTGGCACCTAGCAGACCCCAACCCAGCCAAACTTGCCCAGCATCGCAGTGGCTCAGTGGTGCCCACAGCCAACAAACTCGCTATGCTAGGCAAGTTCAGCCAGACTAGGACCCCTCATGCTCTAGCTCCTTCCCCCCTCCCTGCCTGTTTTGCAACCCTTTGTTGGATGTGGGCTGCTGCCACTGCAATATCAGGTGAGTTCAGCTGGGCTGGGGCCCTCCGCATGCAAGTGAGGCAGGTGGCTGGGGCTGGAGTGCAGGTGGCATTGCTATCATGTGGGAAGGCCCCAGCCCAGCTGAACTTGCCTGGCATCATGGTGGCTTGACAGTGCCCACAGCCAAGGGTTGCGAGGTGAGCAGGGGAGTGGGCTGAAGCACAGATGGCTGCTGCCCCTGTCCCCCATTGTGCTTCCCACGCAGGAGCCCCACTGGACCAGCGCTGAGGAGGGGCAGGGACTGGGTGCTGCACAGTGGGGCAGGGACTAGGGCACCCCCACGACTACGGAGGTGTTGCATTTTGCAGCAAAATGCCATGATACAGCTGCTTGCTCTGGAACTCCTCAGCAAGCGGCTATATCATGGTATTTCATTGTAAACTGCATTTTTCATGAGAATAACTTAATTTCATGATTTTCATGAAAAATATGCAATTGGGATTTAAACCAGGTCCTAGTAATCAGTCTCAAAGATGATTGGGGTATAACAAAGAAAGACTGAAAAGGCAAAGACTCTTCAGTTTGGAAAGGAGAAGACTCATGGTGAAGGGAAGGAGAGGAATATGAGCTCCATAAATCATGATGGGTATGGTTAAAGTGAATGGGGAATTGTTATTTCTCAAGTCCTAAAATAGAGAAATGAAGGAATCCCCACTGCAATTATCAGGAGGTGGGTTTAAAACAAACAATAGGAAGTACTTTCTACATGGTGCATAGTTAGCTTTTGGAATTTCATTTGTTGCCCCAAGAAGTTGTATAGACTAACATGTAACCAGGTTCAAAACATGACTTAGTTGAAATCATGGAGGACAGGTCTGCTGGAAGCTATTAAACAGAATACTCAAGAATGTATCTTAAAATCAGTGATGGGTGATGCCAGGGAGATTCTGACAGGGAATGGATCACTCCAGACATTTTCTGTTCATATCAAGGACACCTCCTTGTGTAGCCAATTAGCAAAGCAAAAACTGACTGATTTTAAAAAGACAGTGATAAACCTCAACAAAGAGCAAATAAATGCTTCCAATGCTTTTTAAAATACTTACAAAAAATTTACTAGTAACTAATTAAAAGCTTCTTTTTCAGGAAATACCATTATTTTGATTTCATTTAGCATCAATATGCAGCTTTGCACAGACTCTACTTTTTTTTATTACAGAAGCTTTCATATGTTGACTGACACATCTCTTTACAATCAACATGTGACCCAAAAACTTACGCTGGATCTCTTAATGACTAGCTGATTTTGAACAGAGAGGGAGAACAATATAACTAATCATTGTAACTGGATATAGGGTAACAGCCAAAACACAATTATAAAATACAGTATGTCAAGCTTAACAACTTACGGGGCACCAACCAATTGAGATTTGTATTTAAATATTTTAGAATGGTATAGTAGTATGTAACGGGAGCAGGTAGGAAGGGGTTATTTTTCATAGAAGTTGGTTTATTTTAAAAATGATTTTTCTACCTTTAGAAAGGGTTATAATCATTTTCCCTTTGTATTACTAGGGTCGAATTACAAAAGTTCTAAATATGAAGCCTCCAGAGGTAAGAACTCCACAGACATGCCTTTTTTTCCCCTCCTTTCCCCTTTTCTTGGTATCTTCTTTATATCTGTCAGCTTATGACCTTACTGCTTGCTTGGGATTTCAATATCAGTATTTTGAAGAAATGTGTAGAGGGAAGCTATATATGAATGAGTTAGTAATTTAGCTTTTTTATTAGCAGTACACTAATGGTTTTGAAGCTATTTCATAAAGCTGTCTTATTTCAGATTTTAGCTATGATTGAAGAAGCGGCTGGTACCAGAATGTATGAATGCAAGAAAATAGCTGCTCAGAAAACCATAGAGAAGAAGGAGGCAAAACTGAAAGAAATTCAAACGGTACTGTGTTTGCTTGAGGTTTTTTAAGAGTTTTACAACAATTGAATAACTTCAATAATAGCATATTTATAATTTGTGGAACATTTTCCTGTTCTATCCAAAACTATGAACAGGTGTTCAATTTGGTAATAATTCTAATATAATGAAAGCCTTACCACTTCCATTTGTCTGAACATAATGTTCCGGGAGGCCAACTGCGCACGCGTGGCCCAGAGCCTTAGGACAGGCGGAGGCAGAAGTGGGGGCTGAGGCAGGCGGAGCCAGGCTGTTCCCAGCATGGCATCTGCTCCCAGTGTGGTACCCTGCGGCTGCATGCCACAGCCCCCCTGCATGCTACTCCCCCCGCACACCCTAGGGCCACGCCTCATGCCGCATGGTTGCAGCTGGTGGGCACTCCCCGCACCTTGGCCACTCCCCATGACATGGGCCTGCCTTGCCACACATCCATGCACCCTGTGCCACAGCCTAGGGCAAGCCCCATGCCGTGTGACCACAGCTGTCAGGCATCCCCCACTGCCATGGCCATTTCCCATGCCATCCCCTGCAGCTCTGCACGCCATCCCTTGAACACTGCGCCCCCCCCCGCATGCTCTGCACCACACCCTGGGGTCGGTCCCTGTGCCACATGGCTGCAGCTGGGGTGTGTCATGCTCCCCATGACACCCCGCTGCCACAGGACTCCCCCCCCGCCTCACGCCACCCCTCCCTGTGGACTCTGTGGTACATCCCGGAGCTGCTTCCCACACCACATGGCCACAGCCAGCAGGTGCCCCCCACACCATGCCCCATGGTCACACACCACCCACCCTGTGCAGCCGTGTGCCACACCCCCTGTGTGCCCTATGACACACTGGGGCTGCTCCCCATGCCACATCCTGCCCTGCGGCTGTGTGCCATGGCCCTTGCACGCCCTGCACCACACCCCAGGGCCACTCCCCATGCCACCTAACCATCGTCGAGCACTTCCTGCGTCATGGCCACTCCTCGTGCCACACCTGGTGGTAACATGCCATCCCTATGCACCCTTGTGCCACACCTCCTCACATGCGGACTGGTGTAGAGCAGGGCTGGACCTGGAGCGGCAGCGGGAAGGGGTGGAGCAGAGAAGGACCTAGAGCAGCAGCAGGGGGTGGAGGAGCAGGACAAGTCCCAGAGCAGCGATGGGAGGGGTGGGGAGTGGGGCTGGACCCAGAACACTGGGGGAAGGGCACAGGGCCAGACACTGGTCTTTGTCCCCAGCCCCCTACCCTGTCATACATGACGGGCATTTTGCTAGTTTAGAAGAATTATTAAGAATGGCAATAAATATTCTGTGTTGTTTCAGATTTTAGAAGAGGAGATCACACCAACCCTCCAGAAACTGAAAGAGGTATTGAAAATACACAGGAAAAAGGAGGCGGAGGTTGACTTTTAAACAAAATTAGTTAGGGTGGGTGAAGTTGCCCTGAAGGCTGGTTTCTGGGGTACTGGAAAATGGAATAACTCAGTTGATTAACCTATTTTCAAAATTAATGGAATACGTGTCAACTGTATTTCATGTTAAAATGTATTCATACCAGTAGTGCGAAGTGCTTTAATGTGTTAACCATGCTGTAGAGGTCCTGCCTGGTTTTTGAATGTCTGATTACAATGTGGGCCATTTAGGGCCTGCCAGAAATCACGAAAATACTAGAACAGTATAGTAAGATGAGGCAGTATATTGGCCTTTTAAAAAGATAGCTACACACATTGTTAACATAAAACAGTATGTTTTATTAGCATAATTTACTAGTATCTTGTTAAATAGGCTTGTGGCACTTATTTTTCCTTAAAATCTTAATATCTTTTTATTGACTGCCCTTTCTTTCAGGAACGATCATCCTATTTGGAATACCAAAAAGTAATGCGAGAGATAGAACACTTAAGCCGCCTTTATATTGCATATCAGTTTGTTCTGGCTGAAGAAACTAAAGTACGCTCTGCAGAGGAGTTAAAGGAAATGCAGGCAAATATAGCAAAACTTCAGGATTCAATGGCTGAAAATGAGAAGAAGATAAAAGAACTTAACAAAGAAGTAGCAGAGATGGAAAAGAAAAGAGATAAGGTAAGTGGGAAAATTCAAAGTGTACTTGTGTTCAATTAGATTAATCAACTATAATAATATTTCTGTGGATGTTCCTTTCAGCTGTGTTTATTTTTGGATTGCATGCCATTGACTGTAATCTTCAGCTATTACATGAAAGGGGCACTACAAATGTCATAATTACACTTCCATTTTACCTGCTGAAACATTTTACCTGCTCTTGCTACAAAAAAATACCTATAGACCATTCGAGAGAGAACCTTTATTTTTCCTTTGTGATTTGGTGATAGTCTTTTTCGTCTTTTTGTTTTGTGGGTCTTTGAGAAGACTCTGTTTAAAAAAGAAAAAAAGAAGGTTATAGACTGCAAAAAACTGACAGATGGATTTGCTTTGCAGTGCTTAAGGTAGTTTCCCCTTTGATCAACTGACTAGATCTCTATGTAATGAATGAGAATGATACTGTTTATAACAAGGAACAAAATAACTGATATTTATGCTCACAAACACCTAGAACAGGGATAGGTAACCCCTGGCATGGGTGCAAGAGCATAGCACGCGAAGGCATTTTGCTTGGCATGCATGCCTCAGGGCAGATGATGGACAAGGCTGCACTGCCATAACAAGGATTGGGCCCCTCATGGCTGCCCTGCTGTCTGCCCCTAGCATACCAACATCTTACAAGTTATGGTTGTGGGTGTTTTTGGTATTCTGCCCAAAAACGTTGCCGACCCCTGACCTAAAATATTTGGTTAGCTCAGTAGTTCTTAACCTTAGACTTGAGACACTCCTCCATAACTTTTCGGAACTAAGTGGCACCTCATTTCAAAACCTGACTTTTAGTTATAGCAGTGCTTGCCTCCTTGCAGAGCAGCTGAAGAGAGGAATAGCCAGGGAGGGTCTGAGCACGAGCCTGTGCTTATCAGCTTATCTCATACCTTATGGCACCTCTGAGTGTCCCAGTATCCCACTTGAGAATCATTGAGTTACACTAATGGCCCAGAATCTGCGGAAGAGTGATATTAGGTGCAGACTCATTCTTACAATTTTCATTCTGCACATCTATTACAAATAGGAACATCAGTGTTAAATTAGCATTTATTCAGTGAATACATGTAAATACATTTACTTGCCTGCATAAGTCATTGTGGAATTAGAGCTTTATTCAGGAGGCATTCATATTCAAATACTGCAAAAGTGTTTTCATTTATAAGACTGATTCTTCTTGCTTCTATGAAAGAAGAGCTGCCCAGCTGAGCAGAAGATGCCTGAAAAGAATTTTATTAAGGAAAAAAAATGTCACAGTGCAGAATAGACAAATGAAAATCTTTCTTGATTCACTGGAAAATAAGTAATTCTCTAATGTACCAGTCCACGTTTTTATTGATTGGGGGAGGGGAAGTATTTGTTTACTTTGGCTTGTGATGAACAGGAGCTGAAAGTTTGGGCAAATATGACATAGCAGCTGATACACAGCAAATCCTTGTTTCCTTTTATTTTACAGCAAATAGGTTTTTTGTTGTCCCCCTTCCTCACCCTCCATTTGTATTTCGATAGCCTTTTTTAAATAGCATTTGCATTTTCCTGTTTCTCCTGTTCTCCTGTTTGTAGGAAGTTGGTGGTGTACTTCGCGCACTAGAAGATGCTCTTACAGAAGTTCAAAGAGTTGATACTAAAGCACAAAGTGCCCTTGATCTCAAGAAGCAAAACTTAAAAGGTGAAGAATATAAACGCAAAGAACTGGTAAAAAGTATGGAGGAGGTAAGCACAAACAGCAAGACCTCTTAATTTACTTAACATTAGTACACTGCTTTGTCAATGACCCTCTCCCCCACTCCTCCAAAAAACCCAGCAACTGCATGTGAATGCTTTTTATACTTTTTGTAGTGTGTATCCAAGAGGTAGAAGAGCTTTGATATCAGATTCATAGTGTGTTTTAACATATAGGCCATAGTAGGATAGAAATATAGAACAGAGGGGGCATTATCTCTTTACATTAAACTAAATTGTATAATTGGCTAAACTTCTAAATCTGCCATTTTTGGAGTTTATTTCCTCCCAATATTGACTGGGAGAGATTTCTTTTTAACATGTGGTTAAATTATTTTATTGTATAAACATTTATGTTCCCAGTAGGAGGCTGGTAGGTATATATTTGAAGAGAATAGGCTCCTCTTTACTAACTTTTTAGTTAAGTTGTTGTGATCCTCATTAAACTTAATGTTGCTTGATAAGGTGTAGTTGTTCCAAAGTTCAAATGAAACACTGTCAGTATTCACATTTTGTCACTTTTTTTTTAACCTTATTACTGCTACTAGTTGTTCTTAAGAATGTTAGAATTAATAGAGAATAGAGAGAAAATATTTTCCCTCTGTCTTTTGCATTTGACCTGCACTTGATCCATGTCTCCTGTTTTGTGGATCTCTTTTATAATGGAAGCAAGTAAACACTTAACAGATGTGAAGATGTTAGTTCAAAAGCTGGCAAGGGGACTTGGGAACTTAAGACCTGATGCTAATTGTAATTGTTTTTTAATTGCTCAGGTTTCAAGTTGATCAATACCATCTTAAATGTATTTGACAGGTGTCTTTCTTTTTTTGCTAAAGGATTCCAAAGCTTTAGTGGCAAAGGAGAAAGAGGTAATAAAGATGCAAGGTGGGCTTGATGCTCTTCAGGAGGCAAGTAAGACAGACACAGAGGCTTTAGCTGTGGCACAACAACATTTTAATGCTGTGTCTGCTGGTCTGTCCAGCAACGAAGATGGTGAAGCAGCTACTCTGGCTGAACAAATGATGACCTGCAAAAATGATATCAGTAAAACAGAAACAGAGGCTAAACAGGTAAGAATAAAAGCTGATCCTGTCCCACATGAGCACTGGGGCTTTTACAAATCTTGCTGTACAGAGGTTTTCCAGCAACATTAAGTTTGGATTATTAAAAAAGGGCTCGGAGAGACGTTCAGTAAAAAGCTTTGCATGTTAATAGGTGCCATTATTTCAACTGGTATTTTTCCACAAACTGGGAGAAAATCTGTATTGGGTGAGGGGTTTTTTATCATTACAATATTTGGCTTAAAAAAGGAAAGGTTGTGATGTTCCATGTGTTTGTCACCAGAAATGTGTCTGTCTTCAAACTGTTTTAAAAACACTACATTTTACCATTTTAAACTGCTTTTAAAATCCTGTATTCCACTGCATATATGAATTTCAAACTTGTAAAAATTCAGTGAGTGGCCTCAGTCTGCAACAGGCCTTTTTATTGATCTGAGTTCTTAATTAAGGATGGAAGAAACTCTGAATGTCATATTTTGGGTCAAGTCATTTGGATTTATGGCAAGGGCATGTTTTCATTTTTCTACTTTAATAGCAATTGGTAGAAATGTAAAGCTGGAAAGGACCTCAAGAGTTCACCTAGTTCAGTGGGGGCCAACTTCTTTTGGCAGACAAGCCGCAAGTTAGCTCTCTACACTCCCAGAGTGCCATTGTACACCCCTTCTGCTCTGCTTTCTGCATCCTGCCCCATCTGCCATTGTGTTGCCTGTTTCCTCTCTAATTTGCTATGCTACACACACAGAGGTGGCCTGTGGCATGCAATCCATAGGGTGGCCACCCTATGTCATCTATGTGCTCTGTCAGGATCAAATATACAGATGAGATTTCCACAGCCCTGCTAGGTATCCTATTCCAGCACTTAATCTTAGGGTTAGAAAGCTTTTCCTACTTTGTAATTTACGGCTAGGTACAAATGTTACACTTAATGTGCATTAGGCATGCAGAAAGCACTTTAAAGCCATAACAACAGATGTTCATGGCATTTAAAGCACTTTAAAAATGGCAGATCCTGTTAAGTTAACCCTTGATAGATGTGATATTAGCATAAAGCACATCAGGTTAGAGCACTTTTTTGAATGTCTATATCACATCCATCATGCCTGAGCGTAGGTTGTATTCTGGCACCATCTTAGGGGCCCCTTACTGGGCTGCTTGCTAGCCTCAGCCATTTCTTGTCTGTTCTAGGCAGGTACCACCCCAGTCCTGCCCCCAGGCTGTTGCAGAGAGGAAACAGAAAAGGCTCTGTCTCCTCCCTGTGCAGGTGGGTGGGAGGTTGAGGAACGGAGCCTTTCTGCTACACAGAATCCCTCCTTCCCCCCCAGCAAGCTTGTGCACTTAGGTCTTGGTGGGGACCAGGCCAGGTCCGCACAGCAGAGAGGCTCTTTCCCACCCACCAGCCCCATTTCCTCAGCATGGTGAAACCTGGTTGGACATGATAAAGGCTGGGCTAGGTCTGTTCAGCAGGGCCTCCCTACCTTCTCCCCCGCCGAGTTCCTGGCACACCAAAAAGCTGGCTGGGCAGTCCTGCGCTGCAGTTGTTAAGAGGTTGGGGGGGTGGGGGAAGAGGTGTAGATGGCCTTTTATTTATTTGTTGATTCAGTTCCTATAGATGGGGGGTGTCAAAGATCCAGACTGTGGAGCCCCATCATCCAGCCCCTTGTGCTGGACTTGGGAGTTGGGTCATGCATCATGTGGGCACATACCACATGTGGCACCTGCTCCAGGACCCATTCTGCACATAGCAACCATCCAGGGCCAGTCCAGGGACCCATGCTCAGTCCAGTGTCTGCTGCAGCTGGTCTGGGATTGTGACTTGTGCCCCAGAATGGGTCCCATGCCATTCATCCAGCCTGCAGGGCCAGGTCAGTTTAACACCCCTGCAGTAGATAAAGTAGGAATGCTTTCTGTTTTGTCAGACTTCACTAAGCATTCTTCACTGTTTTAATTTAATTCTTCACATGTAAGGTGTGGCTAGTCCTCAGTGCAGAGTGTGTCCCTAGTCTCATCTGAAGAAATTAAGTTTTGAAAGACCTTTGTTGAGGTCTTCCCTGCTCCAAGTCCATTTATTACTCCAAATCATTCCTCTCTTATACCTTCCTCTGTCCTGCCTTTTTAGATGACCCCATGCCACAAAAAAACTATTAATTAACATTATCTCCAGACTGCCAGTGCTCTGCTCTGCAGTCTCTAATCCATCACCGCACTACTCTTGCTGCTCAAACAATGCTTTTTGTCACTGTTCTAATAACTTAAGCACACTGATTTGATGTGAACATTTTAAATTTGCATTGCCATTCAGCTGCCTGGAAAGCTCCAGTTTCTACACTTGTATATTTCCCTGTAGGCTCAGATGAAGTTGAAACATGCTCAGCAAGAGTTGAAGACAAAACAAGCTGAAGTAAAAAAAGTGGATGGAGGCTACAAGAAAGATAATGAAGCATTTGAAACTGTCAAAAAGCTGAAAGAGAAGCTAGAAAATGAAATGAAAAAGCTAAATTATGAAGGTTTGTGCTGACTTACTGGTAGAATAACATATGGGGGAATGAAGGTGGAGATGCAAGATGACCTGGAAGAAACTTTTTACAAAGAAAGAACTGGGAAATACATTAAATATGGCTGGAATTAAAACGAGTACCTCTCCCATCTTAGTGGCAGTGGAGACTACACAGTGAAATAAGACAAGGAAAAGTATATGTAGTCTTTTAAGTTGCAGGAAGTTGATTAGTCACAATTGCAGCTCTTAGAATCAAAAAATGAGGGTTGGAAGGGACCTCAGGAGGTCATCCCCAAACTAGATCATCCCAGCCAGGGCTTTGTTGAGCTGGGCCTTAAAAACCTCCAAGATGGAGATTCCACCACCTCTCTAGGTTACTTGTTCCAGTGCTTCGCAACCCTCCTAGTGATAGAGGTTTTTCTAATATCCAACCTAAACTTCCCTTGCTGCAACTTTAGAACATTGCTTCTTGTTCTGTCATCTAGCACCACTGAGAACAGTCTAGCTCTATCCTCTTTGGAATCCCCCTTCACGTAGTTGAAGGCTGCTATTAAATTCTCCCTCAGTCTTCTCTTCTCTAAACTTAATAAGACCAGTTCCCTCAGCCGCTCCTCAGGAGTCATGTCCCCCAGCCCCCTCACCATTTTCATTGCCCTTTGCTGGACTCTCCAACTTATGCACATCCTTTCTATAGTGGGGGGCATAGGCAGTGGAAGGCTTAGCCCTCCCAGCCACCAAAGTGGGCCAGCGACAGTGGCTCCAGCACCACTACCCAGTGCCCCCGTCTGTGCTTGTTTGCTGCCGTGCGTGCAGCACCAGTGCATGCCAACCCTGGAATGGCCTTGTGGGAGGGAGGGGCAGGGGCAGGTCAGGTGGGTATTCTCTGCATTGCCCAGCCCCCCAAATAATATTTTCTAGTGCCAGTAATGGTGGGAGCCCCAAAACTGGACAACAGTACTCTAGATATGGTCTCACCAGTGTAAAACAGGGGAATAATTACTTCCCTCAATCTCCTGGCAACACTCCTACTAATGCAGCCCAGCATGCTTTTAGCTTTCTTGGCACCAAGGGCACTCTGTTGATTTATATCCAGCTTATTGTTCACTGTAATCCCCAGGTCCTTTTTTGCGGAGATGCTGCTTAGCCAGTTGGTCCCAAACCTGTAATAGTTCATGGGATTGTTCTGTCCTAAGTGCAGAACTTTGCACTTGTCCTTGTTGAACCTCATGAGATTTCTTTTGGCCCAGTCCTCCAATTTGTCTAGGTCATGCTAAATCATAGCCCTACCCTCCAATATATTTACCATGCCCTCCCAGCTTGGTGTCATCTGCAAACTTGCTACGGGTACAATCTGTCCCAGCTTTCAGATCATTAATGAAGATATTGAACAAAATTGACATTTGTTTGACATTTACTTTTTTGTGTTGAAAGTAAAAATCAGGCTAGTTTTTAAAAAAAATCATAAGACTTCTTCCCCTGTGCCCTCCCCCACCCCATCCTGCCCCAAATTTTGGGTGCTTTTAAATTTAGGTCCTAGAAGATTATTTCACACCCCTTCCCCAGCCTGCTCATCCCCCACACTGTTTCCATAAAAGGAATCTCATTTATATTAAAACCACTTCACTCTGGTTTGGCAGGATAAATGCAGCTTACACCCACTTAAAGGTTATAAGTTACACAGCTGTTTACAGTCCAAAGTAGAGCCAGAGTCTGACAGGTAAATGAAAATCCAGTCTAATGGTGGATGTATGTGCTTACCACTTCTGACATTCTTATTACTTAAATAAAAACAAGTGACACCCAAGGTGTAAAAATATGTCTTAATACAGAGAGGCTTACAATATTTGCATATGCCTTTTGCTTCAAAGGTGAATTATCAAACCAAGAGTTGTGAATTGGTTTTCTATAATAATCTTCACCAGAAGCATGTACGGTACCAAGCTCCAGTTACTGCTCTAATTACTGAATTTTGGAAGAGGGAAGGATGTTTTCAGTTGGTTCACATTATATGAAATGTGCAGTTCTTAATATGTTTCATTTGCAAATGCTTTAAATTAGTGCCCCTGATTTAGTCTAACTCACCCTACTCTGGATCAGGACTGGGGCTTCTCACAGGCCAGGTTCATGGGGCAGGTGGCAATGGTGGTGATGCAAACAGCAGCTACAGTGGGGCAGGCACCTGCTTTCCATGGCAGAGGCCCAAGCACAGGGTGGTGACTAGTGGTGAGCTGACTAGCAATGGCATCAATTAGCTGCAGGACTGGGTTGGCACAGCCCTCACTTGGTAGCCTGCTGCTGATGGCAGTATCCAGCAGAGCCCTAGATTCTTCAGCCAGCCCCACCTCCAAATTCTTGCCTGCCAAAGGGGATCTGCAGGCTGGATGGAATGGCTCTGTGGGCTGGAGCCACCGTACAGGCCATACCTTTGATACCCTGGACTAAATAATGGAATTTGTTTGGTTCTTTTAGACAAAAAAGAAGAAACTCTTTTGGCAAAACGGAAAGAATTGTCCTGCGATGTCAATCGGATGAGAGAGTCTTTTGAAGCTTTAATGGCCAAATTCCCCAGGCTGCAGTTTCAGTACAAGTAAGGCCTTGGAACATACCAATGTTCATGAAACATCTGCTTAAATTTGTCTTCAGAAACTTTTATGAGTCAGTGTGAATTAGGGCTCAGAACATTTGAATATTTCTGTTGTTTCCTCCATTTCCAGTTACTAAATTACTAATGACATGATCATTTTACATGACCCAACCAAAACTGACATGTCACTTAAAATATTGTCATAAACTTTCTAAATAATTCATTCACCTTTGGCCCCTAATGTTGTAACTCCCTCTATTGTTGAATTGTCTACATGAGAGCAAATGGGATGGTGGAGGGGAGTCCTCACATGCTGTATATTTCTAAAGATCGTCTCGGGGGGAACTAGTAGACTATAATGCTGTTCTAATTTATTTTTTAGAGATCCAGAAAAAAATTGGAATTCAAACCATGTAAAAGGACTTGTTGCATCTCTAATCACTGTGAAAGATGTTTCCACAGCAACAGCTCTAGAAGTGGTAGCTGGAGGGAAACTCTATAATATTGTTGTGGACACTGAGGTATGTTTCTTACTGGTCTGTATCCAGACTTCCCTGTTAAGGGGGTATACACAACTCTATTTTAATTCAACTTCTGTCAGCACTCATGGGAGATAATGCAATGGGCTTTAACTGCCTAAGACAATAACATATTCTTTAACAGATATCTTAGCCAGCAGTAAATTTGACCTCAAGTGGGTATGTCCCAACTTAGATCAATAAGCAGGACTCCTGCTTACACCAACAGTAAATGTGTCCCTTATCATTTGCATACTATTCCTATTGTTTTAGTGTTCACAATTAGTCATGTATTTTCATCAAATCATAGAAAATGAGGGTTGGAAGAGACCTCAGGAGGTCATCTAGTCCAACCTCCTACTCAGTGGGACCATCCCCAACTAGATCATCCCAGCCAAGATTTTGTCTAGCTGGGTCTTAAAAACCTCCACAACCTCTCTGGGTAACTTGTTCCAGTGTTTTGCTACCCTCATAGTGAAAAAGTTTCCTGATATCTACCATAAACTTCCTTTGCTTCAACTTGAGACCATTGCTCCTTGTTCTGTTAGACAGCTGTAATGTAGGCATTTTGGTAGACACCTGTTAACTTTTTATTTTAGGTTACTGGTAAGAAACTCCTAGAAAAAGGAGAACTGAAGCAACGATACACCATCATTCCACTGAACAAAATTGCAGCTGAATGTATTGCAGAAAATACTGTGACAGTGGCCAAAAGCTTGGTATGTTATATTTAAATAAACTATTCTGCCATAAGTATGTTTTTTTCTTTTTATTTTGTCAGATCATTTTACACTAGTATTACTGTTGCATCTGTCCACATTCATAGTATGACCACTAATTTTTATGAAATAATGGTAGTTGTTGCTGTGTCATAATTAGAGAGATTAATATTTTCTGGAGGAGGGATGGCTTAATTTGAAGTTTTGCAGAATCCAGATTTACTGGAATTGAGGTAAAACCATGATGGAGAGCAGAGCAGTAAATGATATACAGGTACATATTACATAGGACAACAGAATGTTGACCACAACCCACTATCACTCATCCATGGTCTTGCAAAATACATAAAACAGCGTAAGTATTGCTTATGAAGCCCATCAAACCACAGGTGCTACATAGGTGGAAGAGGCGTAGTTATAGCTGCTTCTTTTACTCTTTGGCACACTTCACTCCTGTTCTGTGCTCTCCCATCTCTGACAGTAGAAGTCACAAGGCCTTCTATATTTTATGTTCTCAGGGATTTTTTTTTTTTATCTTCATGAAGGGGACTGAGATGCTGCTTAAAACCTCCTTGCCTCACAGTGAGGGGAAAAGTCTCATTTCCCAGAAGTATGGGGGAAGACAAAGTGCTGTTTAGAAAAGTTGCATGTCAGGTTTCTTCCTTGCCAAATCAGGGAAGACTGGGAATAGCCTGAGAAATAGGCAAGGTAGCATTGATCTATCAATTGCTTGGAAGGGTAGTCAGAAGGGTTGGGTGGAAAGGGGGCAAAGAATTGAATCACTTCATGACTGGAGGGAAAGAGTGGCGGGACTGAGCAATAGAGCTCTGTTACCAGTTAGAGAATAGGCCCTGGAAGTACATTGCTGAATCTGATTGATGGTGTAAACTGCTGGTGCTATTATTAGTTAAGCCAAATTCGTCTGTTTTTTCAGCTGTAATCGGGTACTTAAAAGATACTTGCTTCTTATAATATTTGGTAATGAGAAGGCCCAATATTTTACAAAAGCTCTAACTGCAAGGATGGTGGGGAACTGGATTTAAAAATTGTTTATTTAAATTGCATTGTGACATACCAGTCCTATTCCCTTTGACTTTTAGGTTGGTGCTGACAATGCTCATTTGGCCCTTTCACTGGTTGGCTATGAATCTGAGCTGCAGAAGGCAATGGAATATGTTTTTGGAACAACACTGGTTTGTGATAACATGGATAATGCCAAGAAAGTGACATTTGACAAAAAGATAATGAAAAGAACTGTCACACTTGGAGGAGATACCTTTGACCCCCAGGGCACTCTAAGTGGAGGTCATTTGTTTTTTCATATCCTAGATTTCAGTTGTGTTGATGTAACCCTTGTAATGATTTAATAAATGTGAAATATAAAATGGCAAGTGGAACAGGTTAACTTTGAATCTGTTTGACTGAATATGTATTTCTTCAGTAACAGGGAGCAGACTTTCAAACGGCCCATCTAGCAGGGGCAAAATTAATTCGATAGTCCCTGTTTAAGATCAATAATTTAAGTACATTTAAACTCTCAAATGCATTCATTATCTACTCTGGTAAACGTGAGTGCTTCAAAATCCTACATATTCAGTCTAACATACCTTATTTATGGTCAAATCATTAATTAAATGAAAATTTAATTTTTTGTATTTGGCTAAAAAAAAGGAACTAGTACCATAATACTAGATTTCAGTAATATTTTCATTTCAACAAATTTGAAGGAAAAGGTAGGTTCTGCTCAAGTTTGCATATACCTGAAATGCAGGGGAGGGGTGGGAGTGAAATTCATCCTCGTTAATTTTTTGGGATTTTTTTAAGGAGCAGCTGAGGTTGGTAGCCAGAATTAAGCAACATTTGTTTTTGAGGTCTCTGTGTTACAAAAGTGTCCTCTATGGTATGTACTATAACAATGTAAAAATGAAAAAAAAGTGTACATTGGAAACTATTTGTTTTTCTTTACAAACAAATTATTTGAAACCTTGTTTCTAATTGTTAAAACCAAATTCAGCAAAAGAATAGCCAGAAATTTGAATGTACACACTATTAAGCAGGTAACTTTTTAGTTCATTCAGGTTTCACTTTTTAGAATATATCCAGTAAAATTTACAGAGGTATTCTTGCTTATCTTGAATTCTTACATTCAGTCGTGGCTGTCTAAAGAACATTGGGTTCTTATTGTTTGCAATGTGAAAATGCCTATATTTTATATTAAACTTTGTTTACCTATGCTTTCATTTATATAGACTCAACATGTTAGCTTTACTTTTTCTTTTGCTAACCAGGTGCACGGTCACAGTCTACCCCTATATTGTCCATAATTCAAGAACTGAAAAGCATTGATGAAAAGTTAAAAACTAAGGAGGCTGAGCTAGAGACAGTAGAAAAAGAGCTGGCAAGTTTAAAGAACACTGCTGAAAAGTAAGAGTTGCATCTAAACTCATGTGTCTGTGTATATGAAATATACATACCTTTTACTGTATTTACTTGTATACTATACTCACCTTTAGCTCTCCAAAACTGGGATGCACGTCTGAAGCTGATCTACTCTGAAGGAGTAAAGTCAGAGCTACGAATTGCTGTAGAAAATACCAAAATTGAAACAATAGCTTAACAATATTTACTGTGTGTGGATTTTTAAATTAAATTAGATTATCTTAGAAGAAAAAGATTTATCTGCTTTATGGACCTTTATCTGCCAGTTGCAGTTAAAAATACACTAGTCTGTTAAACCTGTGTTATAAACTATATGGAGGCCAATGAGGCCTAACTCAAATCCTTTCAAAATAAAGAATGTTTATATATGGTACTATTACATGTACTAGTTTGTCTTTTTCTGCCACCAATAAAAGGAGAAAAGAGTATTCACTTTATTTTTACTGTTTCTAGACTTTCACATTTAAAAAGATGAGCTCTAAAACGCAACATCTCCACCTACTTGCTTTCTGTAGATAGTGTTGATGCTACATCTCCTTTAAGAGGATTCCATTTACTTAAGCAAATGTTTTGCAGCACTTGTGAGGGTTATCTGCCTACTAATGTGATATGAAGTATGTGTTTCTACTCAAAACTGATGTCAGTGAGGCAATGCAGGTTATAAATGTCATTGTCCCAGCAGGTTGTATCTGAGGCTGTCAGCAGCTGGACCACTGGTCCATTTTATCAATATTCTTCATTCTAAAATAAGCAAGTACTTGTGTTTCCCAACTGTTCCCCAATATGCCTTGAAAATATTAAATGTTTTGTACTTAACGCAATAGGTATGTAAGCTATTTACACATGAATACATCTAACTTAATTTTGCTATAATCTGAGGTATCGACATCTGAAACAACAGTGGGAGATGAAATCGGAAGAAGCAGAACTATTGCAGACAAAGCTTCAGCAGAGTGCCTATCACAAACAACAACAAGAATTGGAAGCCCTTGAAAAAACCATTGGTGAGACGAACTTGTTATGTTCAGAAGCAAGTTGCTGAAAGTGTGAATTTGGCTGCTTGTAATAGAATCTCATTTGCTTTTGAAACTTCAAGCTAAAATGTGTTCAGAGTTTAATGAGGCAAGGATTTCTCAGGGTAATATCTTCTTATTGGACCAACTACGTAGCTGGGATAAAATTAGAAAGGCTTTTGAATACGAGACTTTCTTCTTCAGGTCTTTGATTACAGGGAGCCAATCACAGCATAATGAAAAAGAGAGGGGAGAGGGTGAGAGAGATTTTCAGGGGTAATGAACACACAGGGAGCTGACATGCGTGCAGGCCCCCGCTCAAACTCCTGGCACTTTACAAGAACTGCCATGAGTTAAAGTGATACCCTGACCCAACAGACATTGGCTTGTTGGGTCAGAGGTGGGGGAAATCCAGTCTGCCTGCAGGCGAGCAGAGTGGAGGAGTAACCCCTCTATTCCCCCCCCTCTCCTCCAGGGCTGTCAGCAGGAAGGGAGGGGGAAGCCAGCAGTGAGCTGCCGGCTGAGGTTTGGCTGGCCTGAGCTGGAGGGGGAGGGCTGGAGTAGAGCCCCCAGCCTTGTGGGTCTGGCCTGGCTCCACCCAGTACCCCCAGTACTGCATCAGCCCAACCTTGTTCATGTGAAAAGTTTAACCCTAGGGAACACAAGTTCCCTAAGGCGCTCTGAAGTAGCGCTTTCATCTGATACCTCATTTGAGGAAAGTTAATTTTCCTTGCAATTGGCCACTTTTAAAAGCGGTCTGCAGCCATGCATGTGTGTCATGGCTTGGCTATAGAGCGCTTTTAAGGGGCCTAGTTACCTGAAAAATGTAACTTCTGTCTGTGCCCACAATTAGCAGAAGAAAAGATGCTGATGACTGGGAGATCAAGGCCTATCAAAAGGGCGGAGGGTCATTCTCACCTTTCCTGTGTGGAAAGAATTCAGAAGCTGGGTAAACATAATGTGCCCTAAACCTGTTAGTTTAGTCCATGGTTTTAGTGTCCAGGTAGTGTATGGATTTTTGTTCCCAAGTTCAGCTTTTAAAGGTGTTAGGCAGATTTCCCTTGAGCATGAGGATAGTGAGGTCGGAGACAGATTGGTTGTTCTGTGAGAGATGTGCTCCTAATGGTATGTGTATATCCCTGTTCTTTATATTATTTTCTGTGAGAGTTCATTGCTTCATTCTGGTATGTACTTGCTGTTTAGTTTCACCCATACAGTTGCCATGAGGGTACTTAGTGCATTGGATCAGGTATATCACATTTGGGAAAGGCATGTATAAGAACCATGGATTCTGTTGTGTTGTTTTTATGCAGGGGTGTTGGCAGTAGAGATGTGCTGACAGGTTAAGTATTTCTTGCCCAGGCAAGTCTATGTCCCACTTGTTGTCTGTTGGGCAGCAGAGAGTTTGCTTTTGAGTTGGGTAAGGTTAACAGGCTGTTTAAAGTGGAAGGGCTGGGAATGTTTTTCTTGGGGTCTGATCCTTGTTGAGTATAGGTTAAATTATTGATTTTTCTGATTGGTTCCAGTATGGGGTAGTAGGTCTTCAGTCCAGGTATAGTGAAGGTTTGGTGGTATGGTTTTCTAGAAGTGTTTTCAAAGTTTAAATGGTCTGTTTTTAAGTTAAATTACAAAACAAGAAATGGTAATTTAAATAAGATTGACTCCCTTGCTGTCTAATTTTCTTATTTGTAGAAGTAATGTCTTTGTTCTGTATAAAAAAATAAAAATTAAAAATAAAATAAAATTCAAAACTTTCAAGGAAAGATGCTTTTTCCTTTTTTAAAGAAAACTGCTATATAAAAAAACCCCATACTAATAATCTCAAACTTATTGGTTATGAAGGAGTCAGCTTGGTTAAGTATATACTTGTTTTATATTACAAACAGTTTAAAATATGGGAAATCATTAGAAAAATGTCGGCATTTACACAGGTGAAAGAGATTTAAGAAAACACAGAAAGAAAAAAAGAGGAATAGCAAACATAAATGGGTTTAAGGGGAAGAAACAGGCAGATAAGAATATCGCAATCCTACTGTGGGAAGGGGCAGAACTAGACTAGTTTGAAGTTTTTTGCCATATAGCTGATAAGGAGTATGTTTTCCTTGTTTAAAAGGAGAGCTTATTTAATCTGTGAAACTTAATAGAATATTTTCCATTTTGCTGACCTCCCTCAAGTGAATTGTCTCTTACTGGACAGTATTCTTTTCCTGAAGGATTTTAGAAGAGGAAACATTGAACTTGTTGACAATAAATCTGTACTACAAACCTTTTCCAAGGGAAGCCATTGTATAATGTGCGTATAAAAATGTTAGTTAGGGGAGGAAAGACTTACAGTTTGATACTATTCTTTTTGATGTAGAGGAAAGTCAAGGGATACTAAAGAAAACTAATGAAGTAAAAAAAAAGGCAGAAGAAAAATACAAAGTACTAGAAAACAAAATGAAAAATGCTGAAGTAGAGCGTGAGAGAGAACTGAAAGAAGCCCAGCAGAAGTTAGATGGTGCTAAGAAAAAGGCAGATGCATCCAGCAAAAAGATGAAAGAAAAGCAGCAGGTAAATCTCTTACTACTGGAAGCAATTTTAACAATGCTGAAAACAGCAAAACTTGATTAGCAAATCCTTATTGTCCATTTTTGGTACATAAATATTATTTCGTAGTTACTGACATTCATAGAAATTGGCAATGCCTACTTCGTTCTAGGTTAATAAATGCATTCCTCCTCCACCTTCTACTGTGTGTGATATCATAGTTGTGTTTCTGGTTAAGGAACTGACTCTTACCTGGATTACAGGTAAACTGGCAGGTTGGCTACGGGAAGAGAAACCAGGGAGTTGACATTGTTTCAGAATGTAAGCAAAAACAAACTTACCACAAAATCACTTAAGACAGCACAACGCAGATTCTTAGCTACGCAAGCTGGGAGCATTCAAGAGGGGAAGGAGGATGGCATGCAGACTGGTAGCAAGTCTTTTTGAATTTGCTGAGGCCTCCAGTTTTTCCCTCCAGCCTGAACCCTGTATTTATAGATGCCTTCTTTTAATGAACATTCTCTGATTGGTTTTATTTAAATGTCTTTGTTTTACTGAAACTTTCAGGATTGGACAGAGCTGTCTTGTAAGGTGTCAGTTAGTTGGGATTTCTATCTTTGGGAAGGTAGAAGGGAGGGCTCTTATCCTTCACCATTATGCAGTGTCATTTGCTACAATCCTTAGTTTACATTCTTGACTGACACGGTTGCTTTGTTTTTACAACTTATCTAAGAAAACTAACAAATATATTTATTAATGTTTTAAAGTAAAACAGCATCAAATACACTTGGTTTCATCAATCACTAGTCACATTTTAAGATAAATTAATTTTCTAGTATATTTGGATGATCTAATTTAAGGTCATCTTTTATGTCTCCTTTCAGGCCTTGTGTTCTGTTTTAACTAGATCTTGTTGGTTTAGTTGGAGATGCTGACTACTTCTTTTACTTTGCTGACCAAACTAGTTGTTACATCTGCAAAGGTTCATTCTATAGTTACTGTACTCAGAAACAGGCTTTGGGGCCTTCTGCTTTAGCCATGCTTTCACAGCTTGGCCTAAGCCCCTTGAAAATGGCTAAGGCTGGCATCATGACTTGGTCTCCCTTTTGAAGTCTCTACAGTAAGCTGAATGCTATATCTTTCCATTCAAACATAACTTTAATCCATTTTCTACATCTTCCCTGTTTAGGAAGTTGAAGCGTTGGTCCTGGAATTAGAAGAGCTAAAACGAGAAGAGACTTCCTATAAACAACAGATTGAGGCTGTTGATGAAGCTATCAAATCCTACCAGATGCAGATTGATGCTATGACATCTGAGGTGTCCAAGACCAAGGTAGAGTTGTGATATTGTTTTCAAATACTAAAAAGTCAGGTTTGATTCTTTCCATCTGTGTGTAGCTGAGAACGAAAACCCAAAAGCTTGCGCTTTTTATCATTTATATTTTCTTTTAGATGGATTTTTATGCTACACAACTAATGTACAATTTGTGGGCCTTTATGTAGCCTTTTTATCCTCTAATGAATCTTGTCCCAGGAATATTTTTGCAGGACTCTTCCTTCCTTCATAATAAGTGCAGCATAAAATCTTTAAAAGAAGAGGTGTTGCTTGACCATCCTTTTGCATTTCAGGAGTCTGTAAAAAAGGCTCAGGAGGAGCTGGCCAAGCAAAAGGAAGTGATCATGACACAGGATAAAGAAATTAAAGACAAATCTGCAGAGGCAGCAAATTACAGAGAACAAAATAATGAATCTCAGCTTAAGGTTAAAGAGCTGGAACACAACATCAGTAAACACAAGCGAGAGACAACAGATGCTGCTGCCAAGGTACCCTGGAACTCTGTAGCTCTTCACCTCCAGTAAACACAGATAGTTACTTCTGTCACTGACAGGAATGAAAATTGTTCCCTTTCATCTGACAAACACCACTTACTGGCAAATTCTCATGGAGGGTTGTTAGCATTAACCTATATGTTGTCTGCTTTGCTACATTATGGGACAAGTAAAGGAGTTGTTAGTGTGAGGAGATGACCAAGGAAGAAGCTAAGTACCTCTTAAAGATTACTAACCTAGAGACATAACTGTAGAGTCTTATGTTGTCCTTTGGTGTGTTGGAGTCCAAATCAGAAGACTAATTCATATGCTAAGCATTTCCCTGAGTTTTGGTCCCCCTGATTTGCACCACTTGATTTGTGTTGTTTTGATTTCAAAGATGGAAAACAATATCATATTTGACTGCTGAGATTTAAGGTGTAAAACAAATATTTTTTCATTCATGTAGATGGTATCAACATAACTGTTTTTTGTATGTTCCCAGGTGACCAAAATGCTGAACGAGCATGAGTGGATAGCTTCAGAAAAACAACTCTTTGGCCAGCCTAACACAGCCTATGACTTTAAAACTAACAATCCTAAAGAAGCAGGTCAAAGGCTGCAGAAACTGCAAGAGAAAAAGGGGAAGCTGGAAAGGAATGTGAACATGAGAGCTATGAACATGCTTTCGGAGGCAGAAGAGAAGGTAAACGTTTTTTTGCTTTCTCGTCTACAGACTAGACAGTATCTTGTGGATTGCCATGCGTGTAATATACATGAGTCGCCTATAAACTGTACTTCTCTCATTCTCATTTGGGGCATTGAGACTCCGCCTAAAGCTTTTTACATTTTCTAATTCAGAGATGTCAGTAGCAGAATTCATTTATATTTATTCTTGGATTCTGATGCCTTGTCTGCTCATTAGCTATCGATGTGGGAGAAAGTCCTAGCCTTTGTTGGTGAAGGATGAATTTCCTTCCAAAAAATCCATTTATTCTTGATTAGCACAGACATGGTATTACACTGGCCACTGCATTACTGGATTGTGTATTCAGGTTTAAACATTTTGGAGATTCAAAGAAACCCTCATGAAAGTCTTGAATAATATAACTGTATACTTTGAAGAATAGATCATCCAGTTAACATATTGCTGTTTCCTGGCTGGAGTTGGCGTGTTCTGTCATGTTGGGTACAACATGGTCATTTCTCATATTAAAAAGTAAATAAAATGGCTGTATATTGTATATATGATCAGACATATAATATTATGAACCACTTCATTAGCATGAAGAGGGAGGGAAGCCTCTCCTTTAAGGTATCGTTAGTTTTACCTCTTTAACATTACAGGAAATTCCTAAAGTATCGGATACCCTACTATTGGCAAACAGTTAATTGTATGCTTTTGTACTTCTAATCTTCTGAGTAGGATTATTTTCAGACTTGTAGTTACGGATGTTTTGTGTTTGTACTATTAAAGCCAAAGATGCCAAGTACAAAATTAACGGAGACCTATCTTCTGTTCTTATTATATCAGTACAATGACTTAATGAAGAAGAAGAGAATTGTAGAAAACGACAAGTCTAAAATTCTTGCAACAATTGTAGAGCTTGATCAAAAGAAAAATGAAGCTTTAAATATTGCTTGGCAAAAGGTATGTTACTGCAGATCTTACTTCTAGTGAGATATGAATGCAAGATTTGATGTGGAGAATCAAGCTTGATTTCAGTTTGTTTTTTTCATTTGTGCATGTCCCTGCCAATGCATTAGGACCCTTCCTAGTGCCTGTTTCCACCCCCCACTTGTTATGTTTTCAAGCATGCACCTACATGCTTTCTTCTATGCAGATGCTTTGGAAACCTCTCAGCAGCAAATTAAATCTTCCTCACTCAGAATCCACCTTCTCTGCATTTTTCCATAATGTCTACAAGAGAAACTTAACATGACACTGCTGATGTGCTGAAACAACTACCTGTCATGGAGTGCAGTACTAGTCTCCACATGTTAGCTTACAGTGTAATTAGATTGATTCCTGCCCCAATTAGTTTACATCTTTTTGCTCTACATTAGTATGCTGCTTAGTACAGTGGGGTTCTGGCCAAGGACTGGAGCTTCTAGGCATTATAGTAATATAAATAACTTAGAGCAATGGTGCTCAACCTTTTGGCCTTGTGGGCCAGGTAAGTGGTATGGGGCCTGTCTGCAGGCCAGATTGGGCCCTGGGGCCCAGCACCACCTCCTCCAACTCCTGGACACCTGGGATTGTGGGAGCCTGCCCCCTTTATGCTGGGTGATATTTCTGCCCAGCCTGTTTGCTGGCATCAGGTGTCAGATCCAGTATGAAGGGCTCAAGGCTCCCCAGGGGCTGAACATTTGGCAGCAAGGGAATGGGGGCACCACTCCCCTGCTGCCAAATTTCCAGACCCATGGGCAGCCTATGGGCCAGATGACATTGTGCCATGGGCCAGGTCTGGCTCGCAGGCTGGTGGTTGCACACCTTTGATTTAAAGGATTATTTC